TTGGAATTACAGCCTTTGGGAAGAACCTCTACTACACTGATTGGCAAAGGTTTGGAGTTTGTTTCTTCATGCTTTCCCAAGCTCAGATTCTGTTTAGCTGAATTTATGTTGCAGCTAAGAAAGTGGGGGTTGGAGGGTAAGTTGCTTCGAGCGAGGAGTAAGGAGGAATCCTAAAATGTGACAGCTGCTTGCAATTTCTCAGCTCAGGCATCTGACCTACCAGGGGCCTCTCTGTGATCTCTGCAGGACCTTACACAAGAAGGTTGAGAGGTGTTTGTGGGGGGAGGCGGGCACTTCAGACAGTCTGCAACAAACTGCGCCTCTGAAGTCAAACCAAACTCTTACTCATCCTTGACAGACTTTATACACTAAACAGGAGACGCTGGGAAGATCCCACAGGCCGAGACCTTCCCACATTGCTGAAATCTCTCGTGCTGATTGTGTTTACAACAGGGATGCCGTTGTTGAAGTGGACCAATACGCTGGAAAGGAGTCGGATGAGTTCCAGCCACAGAAACGGGCCAACCTCTACGGGATCACCACGGCCTATGCCCAGTGTCTTCCAGGTAGTAAACCGGTTTAAAAAGTGCAACGTTTCTCCAATGGATGTGACAAATGAATGCCTTTATATTATTCAAAATGTTGCAAACTGCGTCTTTTTAACACTTTGTCACATTGCGACTCATGTTCTTATGTATGGGTAGGTGCACCGATTTATCAGCCAGCCAATTTATCGGTGCTGATTTCCTTGGTGATCGGCTGATTTTTACATGTGAAATCGAACTTATATACCTCGGCAAAGATAAAAACAACTATTTTCCTCTTCTGGTCTCCCATGAGAAACGTTTGACTGACAGACTGGCCCACCAGATCATGTCTGCATGTTTACTATTAACAATAATTAGCACTGTTACCAACTCAGCAATTTTCTTGCTATAATGAGCAACTTTTCAGACAAAAAAAAACAAGGTATTGGACAAAATCAGAATTGGCGGGTTAGGCTTTTTAAAATATTGGTAATCGGTGAATGGCCAGGAAACTGCAATCGATGCACTCCTAATCTTATGTGATAGACCACGACGGACGCTGTGTTTTCATTATAAAAGTGTGCAAAATTTTGTCAATATTCCACTTATATTGAAAAAATACACAATTTCACAATTGCAGTGTTTCCATTAAATAAGGAAAGGAATTAAAATCACATAAGTTTGTTCATTTGATAAATCATTAAAAACAATAAAAATACATTCAGCACCATCAACTCCCCACTACTTCCTGTCATTGTCATCTTCGTGGTTTGCATCAGTGGCAACATCTGGTGGTGGATCATGTGACTTGTGTGATGTGAAATGAATGTTTCCATTACAGTTTTGCGAAGTAAACAAATTTTTATACAGCCCAAAAAAAAAAAAACATCCTAGTGGTAAAAAATATTTAGCGAAAAACAATAGTTTTTATGAAGCAAATTTATTTTCGTAATGTCACATTATGCAGCTATATTGTCAATGGAAACGAAGCTAAAGTAAAACCTAATTGTGAAGTGGAAGAAAAATATTGGATTTTTTCCATTTATTTGACAATAAAAATCAGATCTGGACATGCATTTCTGTTACTCCCCCCATTACTTTGATGCCTCTTTGTAAAATCAGTGACCTAATTAGTAAATTGAGTTAATCAGTATCTGTGTTTCCATTACAAATGTGCACAAAACTTTTGCTAATGTCGAAGGTGAGGTTGCAATTAGAAAACAAACTGTAAGACATTGTAACTGGTAGGAAATATCGCTAGTATGCATAATGAGCTTAAAGTAACAGCAGGAATTTGCAGCTCGATGTTTTTTATTTGGAGGAATGAGTCATGGTAAAGCGAAGCACCAGACTTCATCCTCCCCTCTAGATAAAGGCTGGACCAAACTGAGGGAATGTGCAGCGAAGGGAGTGGGCCTCCAACATCTGGAGTTTGCTATGTGTTTCCCTTGGATGTGTTTCATATATGTAAAGAGGCTGTTTCCTGCTGCTCTGTGCTGTTCAGGCTTCTTACTTTAAATAAGTGTCCTCAAATGTTTGCTCTCCTTCAACAGGTCAAAACTACTGTTCTGTGAACAACGGCGGCTGCACTCACCTCTGTTTAGCGACGCCGAGGGGCCGCTCCTGCAAGTGTCCCGACAGCGGAGCGAGCGTGGGCTGCGTGGAGAGAGAGTACTGAAATCCTCAGCGAGTCGACCGTTTTCAGATGTTCGGACCACTCGGTGTTGCGAAATCTTTTGAAAAAATTGGAGTAGAAGTCAACTTTTTAACATTTCTATTCACTAAACTCTCATCCATAATAGGTTCTGTACATAAAAATACACTGTCATGTTTAATTATTTCCTGAGTGCACATAAACTGAGAATAAAGCTCAAGGGATCCATAATTTAATGTGAAGTTTATTGGAGCAGCATCTGGTGTCAGTGGTGTTACACTGTGTCATGTCCGACTAAAAGCTTATTAGCTTTTATGGTCTCATTGTTGACTTGATTGGATAAACATCTCTGTGAAGCTGGTAGAATCACGTTACATACCGGCCAGCTAATAAATAAATAAATGTTTTTCTACCACTCTGAGGCTCTTGCGTTTTTATCATAAGCAAAGCAACGTTGCCATCATGTGGCAGATGGTTGAATTGAAATGCTAAAGCATCTTTGCGGTTCTACGGGGATTTGGAGAACTATATGTGATAAATAATTTAAAAAAAATGTTTGTAAATAAAATTGCAGGATGGCCCTATAAGTATTCAATTCCAACCTGGCTGTAATCTCTACACATGTTTAATCTGTTATTTTGTGTGAATTGGGGACCATCGGCTGCCCTTTATTTTTGAAAATGACTTCACCATATCATCAAATGACACAACAGAGTAATTTAACTTTACTTTTATTATTTCATTTTATTTTTCATGTCATTCACTCAATAACAAGTATGAATAGGTCATGTAACAACTAAAAGAAATCACGAATAAAAAGGAGCAGAAAGAAGTCTAAACTTACATCTTTATTCACGTAAAATAAAATTAGCTATTCAGCTCAGAAGATAATTACAGACATATTAAAAAATACACAACAAAACATTAGTTTATTCAACCCAATATTGCTTCACCGTTATGAATGTGTATAATGTGTATATTGCAAAAGCAATATCTCCCCCTGAAAATTTTAGAAAAATTAACCTTTGCTTTTGTTTTCAGAGAAGAAACAAGAATAGCATTAAGAATAAAATGTTTTCAACAATAATAAAGGCACAGTTGTTGGTACTTCCAGCAAGTCCTTATAAAATAAATGTAACCAAAGAGGTTTATTTTTTATTTTGATTTGTAAAATATCTCTGATTTTATTAGAGTTTCTAGGAACATTTAATCTGTCTACTTTCTGTTTCCCAGGAGTAGAAATATGACGTGGCACAGGGAGCCATTTTTCTTTACCACTAGCCACCCGTAGCCACCAGACAGGACAATGACAGATATTTAGCTGGACTCCAAGAGGAGTGAGGAGGAGGCAAAAACATTTCCAAATATCACTGGAACTGCAAAAAGGATCTTTGCATCACAACCATTAATCTACATGTAAACTAGTTTGAAAGGCATGCGAGGAAGTAACTAATTTTGTCTTACCACCACAAATACAAAACATGCTAAGTTTGCTAAACTCTAGAAAGAAGAGGAAGTGTGCATCAACTCTGGCAAGGGTTAACATAATTAGTAAATTACTAGTGAACAATTCACTATTAGAAAAATCCTCCACAAGTTTAACTGACTAGGGGATGTACAGGGAGAAAACTTTTGCTATCTAAGAGAAACATGAAGGCCAAGACTAAAGTTCACCAGAAAGATGGTAGACAACAACCAGAACTTCTGGAATAATGTTCTTGGACATTATTCCAGATAAACAAAACTCAGCATTAGACTAACTGTGAACCATGGGGTTGGAAGTGTCATGGTCTGTGAATGTTTTGCCCTCACTTCACGGATTAACTCTCTGCTCTTTTCTTTATTTCTATGAATAACAGGCTTTTTAATGGAGCATCTTAATTTTCTGTCATGACTGTGCCCACATATTAAACAAGTAACCAGTATGCAGGCTGTTTAAGCACACAGGAAATTATTCTCAATGACCACAAAAGGGAAGGCTGTGGTTTTCCACATCTAATGAGGTTGTACTAAAAACAGTAACTTTATCATTTGTGTTGGCTACGGTATACTTTAAATACCTGGAATGCGACACAACATGTTTGGCAGCTAAAATTTTAACAATAGGCCAGGGTTGCCAAGTTATTGCCAAACAGCTCAGTTTAAACGGTAAAAGACATGAATCATGAGTAATTTTTTCATCTTTTGTGTGATAGTATGTTAAACATCGCAGAGAGTACCAAATTTTCTTTTCCCTTAATAAATATTATTTAGATTTGCCTAAGAAAATTTCGAACAGCTTCTCTCTTTTAAACATCGAAAACGCCATCTCAACGCGATTGATTGGATAATGTACAGAAGTTCTTTGAACGCACCACAGCTCTCTGGGCCTTTCATTGATTGGGAAACGGTTTGTGTGACGTCCAATCGGAAGCAAGAACGGACCCATATCACGAGAAAGGATTATAATTGTATTAGTCTCTCCCTCAGACTTGTCTGCAAGGAAACTAGCTCCAATTGTTTAAGCAACGTAATCTAAACAAATTATTCTGGATTTTCTGTTCGAAACACCTTAGTTTATGCGTATCAAATTACTGTAGTAATTTCTCTTTTTCTCACCACTTGGTTTTTATAACAAGAATCTTACGTTTTGTTTTAATTACGTTTTGTGTATTTTTCTTTCTTTGTTTAACATTTCATATGCTGATAAAAAATTGACTACTAAATGAACGTGTAGATGTGCTTTCGTGAATGACTTCCTTTAAATATTGATTCTCGACGCCTCTGTTGTTAGCAATCGAAGACAGAGGTCGGTGGTGCCTTCCAGTCAATGTTGAGGGCGAAATCGCCCAGAGCCTGATCAGTGCTGGACGAAGTCTAACTGCTTTTTAGTCACTGCAAACCAAGGTACGTTCAAAGATGCATTCTTCATATTTGTTCTGCAAATGTAAGGGGTGTGTCGCCTTAGCTAGACCGTATAATTATTTTTTAGACCCAATTTAGGATGCGTCTATTTCTCTTTGACACAGTTCTGACAGTTGACAAAACACACAGATCGGAGCGGTGCAATAACCAATAAAATAGCTAATGTTGTGACTGTTTGCGACAGAGTTCCAAATCTGAAATGTATGGACTTATTTAGGAAATTGTTTTATAAGTAATAAATGTATTGCTTCTGCGGTTGATGTATAAAAATCGGTTCGTATTTTCGTTATAGTTTCCAGTACTGTGTGTGTGTGTGTGTGTGTGTGTCCATTGCGGCTAAGGTAGCCACAATATTAAGCTCACGGAAGGAAAGGAATTTCAAAATAAAATATCAAGCAAGACGTTTTCTAGTAATAGCTCCCTTATCTGAGAAAATAAACACTTTTAGATTGGAGAAAAATATTATTATATCGTCTAATAAGACCTTAGATTGTAAAATTTTCCTACTGTTGGCTTTATTAAACAAATCCATAAACTTTAATCAGACTGGATCCTCTAAGTTTTGCAACACTGTTATAAAATTGCTTAATTTATTACAGTATGAAATTTGAATGAAATCCATATAAAACGTATTTATAAAAACCCTCTAAATAAACCTTTTTAGTATTCTATTCAAAATATTTTCATTGAATACTTATTTTGTTTTATAGCAAAATTACACATAAAACAGTGGAGCTATCTAAAAATGCAATACTGTATTAATTATTCTGTTTAGTTTTCTTTCTTTATTCACTTTTTTATTATGTGTATCACTTTGATGCTGATACATTCCCAATTTTACAACTCTAGAACAAATGATTCTAAAAACAACTAAATAAAAAACAAAACCGTAAAGATAAAAAATTAAAAGTGAAATTGCTTACTACGTGGCACAGTTTCACATTCATATGATGCGTTTTACGAATTACCCAAAGAATCAATATAAAGCAAAACTAAAATTGTATAATTTTTTTCTCAATTGATTTGTAGTTCAGTGAGCCGTAAAAGCTTTTATTTTGAAGGAAACTCACCAGCGGAAATTGCTTAGTATGGAATTGCCACTAGCTTGATGCTAGTTCTGTGAAGTACCTCGTTAGCTAGCTTGAGCCCGTTTTGTTTTGGTTATGTTACGCTGCGACTGGATCGTCAGACTGACGTTTTTCGGGTTCAAGTCAGGGCAAAGCGCACTGTAATAAAGTGTTAGTTCATCTGCAAGCCGTTTTCTAAGAACAAGTGACTTAGACGACTTATATTTTGTTATTTTTTTGGCTTTAATACCCTTCAACATCATGCATTTCCATCCAGGAGCTCCACTTTAAAAGCGGCGAAGCGGCGCAGTGAATCATGAATCTGCAATGAAAGACTCAGGAGAACCTTTGGGTCTCTTTCCGGGGCACTTCCAGCCTCCCGGGGGTTAAGAAAGGATTGCTATAAATCCCTGACTTTCTCGGGGAAGCGCCTGGAGAACCTGGAAGCCATGGCTCATCTACAGCAGACCGATCTGTCATATGCGTGGGAAAAGTATATGGACTGTAGGCTGCAGGGAGCGGATCTGCAGGTAAGGTTCTGCAGCAGTATGTATACGATGCATGCTCAGCTTTGTTGGTGGTGATCCTTGTCAGTGCTACACTGCAAGCCAGTGGTTCTGGAGGTGAAAAACAATGTAATAAAAGTATATCTTTTTTCATTTTAATACATATAAAATATAGTTAGCTTCATGTTGAACTCTTAAAATGCAGAATGTGACTAATGGGTTATATTAGTCACATTCTGTCTGCACTGGTATCAGTTTCCAAACCTTCTGGGCTGTTCAACAAGGTTGCAATTAATCAGGAATGCAAAGAAACATTGTTCAGACATTCTTATTGTCTAAAACAATTACCTTTCCTGTTTTTTGGCTTCCTGGAGTCACTAAACCTTAGGGATTGTGTTCAGCAGTGTGTAAATGTGTAAGGTGGCTTAATAAGATGCTGTTTTTTCTTCTAAAAAGAGATGATGATCAAATATTCAAGAACTTTTTTTTTTCAGTTTTAATTGTAAGAACTACTGCTTTACTTTATGCCTTTTTACTGCTTGTTGTAACCGAAAGAAGTTCATCATAAAGTTACTGATTAATATGTTTATACAGTATGCCACCAGCATAATATCTTTAAATTACACCTCATATTGCTGACATTACACCCAAGCTACTACTACTCCTCAGATCTGTCCTAATTGCTTCAGAGCCATTAACCTCCACTGATTCCAGCTTTTGGAGAAAGAAATAATCTCACAAGTGTTGAAGTAGAAGCACGTACAAGATGTGTGGTGAATCAGAGCAGAGATGGAGGCAGGTGTAAACCACAGCTTGTTGTGTTACAGTGTGAATGCATTACTGTCTGAAAGGGCTGCGATGTGTTTGTTCAGAAATCTCTCCCAGACTATCGCTGCTCCATTCGCCTTCCCCTCGAGCAGAACGGCAGTCGGATCACGAGACCTAGATTAGGATCAGACTGCGTGTCTTTACACACATCAGACATGCTCTTATTCAGAAAATATAGTGGCTCTCAACAGTCCAGACCCCAATTAAAATGCCAGATCTTATTTAATATAAAAATTATGCCAGAAATAACTGGTTTAAATGTTTATGTAATGCAAATGCTGGTACAATTTATCAGAAAAACAAAAAACATCCAGTGTTTTAGTAACATTCTGCCTTGCAAAATGCTTGGAAAAGGACATCTGTCGTCCACGGTTCTCTTTAGGTGATCCCAGATATTTTTGCCATTTTCAACGCTTTATGCTGACTGATCTTTTCCAAATCTATTCACTGTAATGCTAAAAATTAAAATCCGTCATAAACACGCCTGAAAGTTTTGCATCAAACTGGCTGTTATTTACTGATAATTTGATCCAGTTTGGCTTAAAATCCTGGTTTTATCAGAAGAAAAATAACGTCACAGCATGATGCTGCCACCACCATGTTTCATAGTGGGCATACTGAGATCACAACATGTTTTTCCCACTTGGTTTCAGAATATCATTTGTTTTTTTTTTGTTTGTATTTTTTTTGGAGGTAAAGGCTTTTCTGTTAGACCAGACAGTTTGTCGATTTGCCTTTTCATCACTTCTGGAGAAACGTCCAGGATTTGATTCACCGTTCTCCAATGTTTTCTGCTCTTATTCACGATTCTTAGAGATAAATAAGATGCTGTGGGTTTTGTTGCACTCCTGGCTCTTCTCACATCGTGACTTCAGCCAAAGGAGGCAAATGAGGAACAGCTACACTTTATTTCTAATCAGAGCCGCCATGCCCAGGAGGACTAACCGTTAAAATTGGATCAAAAGGTGCAGAAACAGGATTCATTTGAGAGTGTGCACACCTATACAAATAGATTATTGTGTCTTTGTTTCCTTCTAGTAGAAAAGCTTGTTTTACAGTTGAATTGCATGAGATGCATTACAGTTCACTGACCTGAAATTTCACTTTTTGCTTCGTTTCGGTGATCTTTTTGGTCTTATCCTTGAAACTGGTGAGCTTTATCCTTATTTACCCGCTTTGCACCGAGGATGCTCTGAAGTTTCTAATAATCTTTTAACTTAATCTGTCACTTTTTTTTATGATGGCTCCCTTGGTACAACTGCGGTTGCTCCTACACCTGTCAGTTTGAACGCGTGATCATTTAAGTGTATGAGACACACAGAGAGGGTCTGTTGAACACAGCTGTCCTCTCTAGAGTGCTACCTTTCCCTCTCATCTGAGCCTGATGTGGGAAAGACATGGTGACAGTTTGTGGCGCTCACATGGCTACCATTGCGCTACCAGCAAATTATGTTTTTTCACAACAGCACACGGTAAAGTTTGGCGGTCCGTGTCTTTTCTTTGTCAGACAGCATGCAGGTAGCAAAATGCGAAGGGATCCATCACATCGCAGCTCAAGAAATGTAGAAATGTTAGCTGTTAGCAAAATAAGCATATTTATGCACTGAACTACATATGTTTAGGCTACAAAATTGAAGCGCATCATGTTTTCTCAAATCCTGCAGTTTGTTGTGTAATTTTTGTCCCTTCCTGGAGCATTTTGACTTGTTGTAGATTATTGTTGGTTCCTTCTAATCCAAGGAATATGCTGATGGATTTAAACAATCTATCAGTCGTTTGCTGCCAGTAGTTTTTGTTTACATACACTTTGCTTTTTGTCTACAGAGATGCATATGTTCACATCGGTTTCACTGGACACTCAAATCGGTGGCACAAAAACAACACCAAAAAAAAAATAAGTTTTTGAGCAAAACTGCTTGAAAATTGAGCAGTTTTGCTCTCCCGGTGAATGTAGATGTAGATGTCCACTCATGCAGGCTAAATAAGACGGTGATTGTGGGAAATGTCTAAACACAGACATCAGGAGGACTCTGCTCTTCTGTTTTGCATCTTAATCTGTGATCACACCTTGCAGTGAAATATGGAGGTAAATAAGCTCGTTCTTTTGCAGCAGTTGACGAGGAAGCTTATATAAAAGAAGTGTGAAAACACCAGAGCTGAAGCTGCTGCCTAGTTATAGCTGCAAACTTCACAGCTTTACTGTACAGTCAATCGCATCAAATCACAATAAAAAGCAATAAAGTTTGTACCAAAATGTAAAAAAAAAAAATGTTCAAATCAGTTGAATATTTTTGCAAAAGTGTTGGATCTGATGTCCGTTTAACTTCTTCTGTTGTGTTTTTACAGCTCAGTGACCAGGTTTGCTGCTGTTGGATTGTTAAAATTGACCTCCAGGTCACCTTTACTCTCATGACAATACTGTCAGCAGATGAATTTCTAAGATAATGAAATGATTTGACAGATTGATTTTGCTTCCTCTATTTTGGAGTGAAAACATTCTTTTGTTTATAAATTAAAGTTAAATAAATCCCTTTTTGCATTGCACGGATAAAAAATTCAAATAATTAAGAGTATTTACTTCTATTTAAAATCTTCCTTCAGGGGGAGGTAAATCTGCAGTATGTGGTCAGTCATGTTTCCATTCTCGCCGTTTCCTGATGAGCTGAGTCAATTTAGCAGAATGGCTTGTTGGGCAGGAGCCAACCATAAGAGGCAGGTTTTCTGTTGCCTGTCGATGTTGAGTTTCATTATGAGGTAACAGGATGTTTCAAAATATCAACGTGATGCGTTTGAGGCCCTGTTTTTTTGTTTTTTGTCTTTGTGTACCAACTGTGAACTCCGGCTTAAACACCTCGTATGGGTGTGTGTGTCTGATTCATCCTGTTCAGTCAAGTGAAGTCAGTCACACTCCTGGATCAATGCTAACTCTGCTTCTCATGGCTGATCGGTCTTGTAAGTACAGCTCTGCATCTCCTCTGCCTTCGCTCCTGTTTTGTTTTATGGTTGGCAGTCATAAAAAGTTGTGATGCAAATTATCTTTCATGCATGGCGCATCTCGCACATCTTCACAGCAATCTCACGTCGGTAAAGTTGCTGAAATGTTTTGACTTCCTGAATGAGAGAAACCCTGGTTACACGTCCCTGCCACATTTCATGTCGTTACGTTTTCACACTCGCCTGTGCCAGCACGTTCTGGTGTTTCTACGGTGAAGTCCTGATTGCTTTACTAAAGAAGATTAAACTTCTCAAGCGAAGCATATGGCAAAATGGGCTGAATACAAAGTAGCTCATAGAGATTGCAAGACTGATCCACCTTTATTTTTTACATTGTGCAGCTTTCAATGTGCTTTGTATTTTTATTTTGCCTAGTATCTCTTCAAAGCTGTACTTTGTAAAGTATAATGATGTTTATTAGGAAAAAATGCTAAAAAAAAAACAAAACAAAATGTGCTGCTGAACAAGGTGAAGGGTGAGTGATTTAATCTCTCTTTAACGCTTGTTTTTACACATTTACATACAAAACATTTTTGAATGCTGTCGCAATATGTCACCATAGGAATTGCATTTTTGTAGCATTTAGCTCAGCAGAAAGGAGCATTGCAGCTTAAGCTTTGCAAAGCAAAAAGTGATAACGTGTGGGAAGCAGCATCAGTTGGACACAGTGTGGAGGAAAAATTATAATTGCTTTTTTAAAGTGTTCTTGCTTTTTGAGGACTTTTTTCTGAAATATTATAGAAATATGAAAACCGGTACCTGTTTTGGGGTTTTTTAGAGATGCTGGCTGATACCGGCTTCCTGTTGTTGTTGAGATCCGGCCTAGAAACTTAAAGTTCTGATTTTCTTTCATTCTAGACGAACATGTTTGTATGTTTTATAGTCATTCACCTCACCTGAAGCTGCGTTTGAGATATTTAGCTACAAACACGCAAAGGATCACAATTTTGGCGTTTGCGGTACCGTTACTGAAGTGTCCCAGGTGTGTTTTGATGCTGCTTCAGTAAGGCGACTTATTTGTTTATAAATTACCACTTAAGTGGGAGTGGGTTAAAACCTATGAACAAGCAACTGAACACAACTGCGGTAAAAGTCTGGTGAATCATCACAGAAGAGGAAATCCACACGAATGAAGTATATTTGTGGGTTTTTTTAGAGCTCTATGGCCTGCATATGATTTGCTAAACCTACTTTCTATCTCT